TGCCTGCCTCTCCCTGCGGCTGTGTCTGACGTGACTGGAGGCGGGCCTGAGCCCCCGTGAGCTCCTTCCTCCACCCTGAGAGGATGCTGCTGGAGCTTTGCCTGGCAGCATGGTGCAAAGGGTGTTTTGGGGCTGATGCCAGCATGGGGATTGGTGTGTGGCAGCAGGTGAGCCCCAGGTGGCTGATCCTGGCTCCCTGCTGGCCTCAGGGAAACTGAAGTGAGCAGTGAAGCCTCTTGCCTGCTGTCCTGCTGCTACACCTGCTTGCTCCAGCTGCTGGCATGCTCCCTGGCTGCCCAGGCCCTGCACTTGCTCCTGAAATGGCTCTTCTGGGGTTTGATCATCAGCAGTGCCGTGGTGTCAAGCGATACATGAGGGCCTGTGCCTGTTCCAGTGCTTGCTTGCTGTCCTTCACCACGGAGCGAGCGCTGAGTGGCAGCATCTGCCTGATCTCCCAAGCAGCCCAGCCTGCCTCTCTGATGGGAACCTGCTGCCCCCAGAGCTGCCAGGTAGCATCCATACTCGCTGCCTGGTGAACTGAGCTCGTGCTTCAACAATCCTCAGCAGCTTCCAGGTGCCTCTGTTGTGCTGCAGCCCTGGCCTAGAGCCTGTGGAGATGGTGACACCTCCCCTGTGGGTCTTCTGACTGCCTGGCAGACATGTAGCCTCAAGGCAAAACCCTCTCTTGGTCTCTTCCATGCTCCAGCCATCTTCAGCATTTCTCCAGAGCCTGGAGATGAGTCTGTGGTCCTCTGCTGTGACACTTCGGGACCTTGAAAGCCCAAATGTTCCACCTCCATGTGTCTGCCTGGCTCTCCAGAATATGACAGTATCAAGCTTCACATGTTTGTCCTACCAAGGACTCAGAAGGGACATAGGTATTGCGGCTGCCTGTGGTGATGCAACCCCTGCCTGCACTGAGTGTGCATGCCTGCCTGCCAGGCCGAAGTCTCTTTCCATCGGTATGAACGAGTTCACTATCTCGCCGCGTTGCTTGCCAAAGCAAGCTCTGCCACAGCGGTGAGCTGGCCTGGAGCCCTTCCTGTGAGCCCCATGGCCGGGGAACACCTCCCAGGGCTGCCGGCGTCACCCTCTGTGCTGTGTTGCTACCCTGAAGCCTTGTCCTTCGGGCCCAGCGTTACCCTGAGCTGCTCTGGTGCCTCCTGGAGCAGCGGGTCAAGACGCAGCCCTGCCTGTTGCTGCTGCCTCCGTGCGGTGGTTTGGACTCTGGCCAGTGAAAGTCCACCTGCCCCCTGGCCGGACACTGCAGAAGTGATGTGAGCATGTCTGAGCTCAGCTCCCCAGTGCAGCGTGCTCCACTCTCCTGGGATGTGTGCTTGGTTATGTGTCCTCAGTGCCTGAACCAGTCTGTGGGCAGCTCAGAACATGGTTCAGCATAACGATGGACATTTGATCACAGCTGTCCCTGAAAGCCAGAGTAATCACTGGCCATCTGAAGACACCTGGTCTATGGACTTCAGTGTGCCTGAGTCTGTCAGAGAAACCTCCAGGGAGTGCGCTGTTGCTGCCGGAATGGCTGGGTTGCGCTGCGGGGCTGGTAACTGATACTGCCCAAATGAACCGAGTCTCCGCAGCTGGGCTGTCTGTACCTGGGGCTGTCCCAACCAGTTCAGCAGACCAGGTGCTTGTCAAGAGCAGCCTCCTCTCTAGCAGTCAAAGCAGTCAGTGTCTCAGTGCGTGGACTTCTCCTCCACAGATACCTTCTGAGTGAGTCATGTCCCTGAGGAGCTCCTGCCGTGCGCCAGCCCTCTGCTCCGGTGGAGGAAACCTCTGCCCAGTGAGCCTGAGGCCGAGCACACTGACCTGTACACTGGGCAGCCCGGTCCCAGGCTGTGCCCTGGCGTGGGGCAACTGCTCACAGCCTGGTGGTCCCGGCTCGCTGCTGGTCCTGCCCCTGCATGGCCCCATCCCAGGGTCCCCCCGGTGTGGGCTGTAGTTAAACGCTGCCAAGGCAGAGCTCATCCTGGTGGTGACACAGCTACCCTGGCACCTCTGCAGCCCTCCAGCTGATGGAGTTAAAGCGGTCCTGGGCCTGCAGCAGAGCAGGGCTCTGACCCGAGGCGCTTGCCACCCAGCTTGGGCTGCCTGCTCCTGAGACCCCAGTGCTTTCTGCCAGAGAGCACGAAGCCTGGGGCTGAGCTGCTGTCTCAGGACTGCCTCTGCCACCATTGGGCTGAAACCACTGTGTCCTACACCACTAAATGACTCTGAATCAAAGTCCTCTTTCTGATCCCCTATGCTTTTTACCCCTCTCATTTCATGATAGAGAATTACCTAGATAAATGTCCCCCACCTGTAGGGCCCAGGTGCCCTGCTCTCCTCCACCTATCTTCTCTGCCCAGGGCTGGGCCAGGCCCAGAGCCAGGATGCAAAACACTAATGTGGGCATGCAAGCAGGGTCTGGGGAGGGGGGCACCAGCAGGCTGGACTCCTACTTGAAGGGTGTCCCTGCCCTGGGCTGGGGGTCCTCGGGCCTGAGGAGAGCCTGGCAGATGCCCTGCTGCAGAGTCCCGTGCTTGTGTGGACTGCTCAGAGCCACCTCTCCCCCCCAGCAGAGGTGTTTCTTGTGGGACTGGGTGGCCCACCGGCAGTGCTAGGGCAAGGCACCCCTTGGGGCAGGCCACATAGTCTCATGCCTGTGTGTAAAGACCTCTCCTCTCTCTACGTCCCTTTAGAAGTAGGGGGTGAGATGTATTCAGAGCCCCTTTTATTTAGCAGAGATGCTGCCCTGGGATGGGGCTGCTCAGGGCTCCAGCAGCCTGTGGCCAGGCTGATGCTGTGCACGATGCTCTGCTGCTCTGGGCGTCCAGGGCACGATGCTCTGCTCAGCGCGTCCAGGGATGGACACGCTCCTGTCTGGGATAGCCCATTGGAGTCTGCCTTGCCTTTTAAAATCCAGGTCCCAGATCCTGCGTGTGATCTTTGGACACTAGAGGGCACTGGGTTCCCGTCCAGGGAGCAGGATTAGGCCCCCTGCCTGGCTGCTGCAGGGGTGTCTCACAGGGGTGCCAGGCCCTGGCCTGAGGTATCTCAGCCCCTGGCAAAGCGGTGCACAGTGGCCAGCATGCAAGACAACCAACTATGCATGCAGAGCTGACCCGGCATGAGAGGGGCCGTATCTTACACACATACATAAATACAGCTTGGAGGGGGAAGCCGGGGTGGGAAAGGAGCCCTGACATGCAGTGCTGCGCACGGTCCCACGCCACGTATCCCCTGGGTGTTCATGGGGCCTTTGCAAGCAGCTTGCTGGGGCTCCTGGTTCTCCCACGCCCCAGGAGGGTGATGGGGTTGGTTTCCCCTCGGTGGTGGAGGCAGCACAGTAGATTGATGATTTTTTGGGCGTCCTTCATGCCAGCAGCCAGGGCAGAGGAGGGTTTTGGGTGCGGTGTGCGCGGGGAAGCAGGCAGTCCCCCAGTACAGAGGAGCTGGTGAGGTGTCCCCCTCCTGCCCCACAGCACTTCTTGGAGCCGGGGCCACATGCGGCCCCCTCATAGCACTTGTATGTCCCAGATCTGTGTGGGTCTTTCCTCAGCCATGTCCCAAATGATGGCATGATCCCGGTCGTACGTTCGGCCACCTGTGGAGAGAGGGGAGAGTTTGAGGAAGACTCAAAGTACCTTGCAGGCAGAGTGGTCTCTGTTCCCCCTGCTCCCGAGGGTGGGGAAGGGGTCGGTGCTCCATCTTGCAGCCAAACACCCCATTTCAAGGGGTCCCTGGAGAGGCTGCCCCAGTGCCACAGTCGAGACCTCACCCTTTATATCCAGGATCATGTCCTCAAACATCTGGCTGTGGATCCGTCCTGAAGAATCGATGCTCCAGGTTTGCCGTGGCATCCGGTTCTCAGACCACAGTACCGCCTTCGCACCCTTCCCAGCAGGCCCGATGACCTGCAGGCTCATGTTGGGGGCAACCTGAAACGAACCGCAGCCACCAGGTCAGCCTGTTCCCCTCCCTCATCTTTGTCTGATGCTTTCCCTGCCGCAGGTGCTAGCATGTCTCGACGGCTATGAACCTGGAGGATTTTGCCGCTGGTCAAATGGAGCTGGTTTTGGAGTGGGCCACTATGTGGGGAAAGCAGGAAAACCTCTCGGTGAGAGAGATGGGCACGATCAGGGCAATGAAAGTCCTCTGAGGAGGCAGGAAAACCTTCAGAACT